ACACTTATTAAAACTGGGGACACAAGAAAGGGTGGGGAAATGAGCCTAGTCTGGTCTGCCTTGGCTCACAGAAGTCACAGAAAAGGAGGCCTTGGGGAGAGGTTCAGGGGATTAGCCTGTGACAAGCCACTGCTGCTCACTGCTCTCCTGGTTGCAAGTCTCCTGGGGTACCTTAGAGTTTAGGAGATGCATGCCTGTGGGGAAATAAAGGGAGGGACACTGGGGATGGGGGGAGTGTCAAGGGTATTCTCCTGGGAGGGAGAGCACGTGCTGGGACCCTCACTGGAGGATGTTTTTTCCATTGCTTTTCGGAGAGACTGGAAGGGGGAGAGAGAGAGAGACATCAATGTGTCCACATTGACTGGTTGCCTCCCACACGTGTCCCGATTGGGGCCGGGATTGAGCCTACAACTGAGGTATGTGCCCTTGGCAAAAATCGAACTCAGGACCCTTCAGTCTGCAGGCTGATGCTCTAACCATTCTGCCAAACCAGCTAGGACTGGGACCTTTTTTTTTTTTTTGGAGGTTTTAAAGCCTGAGTGTTGCCCCGCCGACGAGGCTTAGTAGTTGAGCATCAACCTAGGATCCAGGAGATGGAGGTTCGATTCCCTGTCAGGGCTCATGCCTGGGTTACGGGCTTGAGCTCCAGCAGGGGACGTGCAGGAGGCAGCCAATCAGTGACTCTCATCATTGATGTTTCTATCTCTCTCCTCCTCTCCCTTCCTCTCTCTGAAGTCAATAAAAATATATTTAAAAAAAAAAAAAGGCTGGGTGTTTAGGGGAGGCATTAGGGGAGGATTTCAACAGAATATTCATCAGCTTTATGCTGATGTACCAAGATAGCCAAATTCTCTTCATCTGTCCTTAGTTGTGATTGGCAAATAGCACCGACTGGATTTCTGCAGTCTGTCTCTGCTTAGAGTGATTTTAGCTATACACCCTCTGGTTGGGAAGAAGTGTGAACCATTTACTCACAAGTGTCCAGGTTTAGGGAAGATAGGGTTTACTAGATGGCTGCAAAGTGCTTGTCATCTAGATTTTCTAGATGGCTGCAAAGTGCTCTTTAATTATCTGTTTCAGTTTCCCTCTTCCGCTCATCCTGGCTTACTAGCCTGTCTCACATTCACCTGCTGAAGGACATCTTGATTGGGTCCAAGTTTGGGCATTTATAAGTAAAGCTGCTAAAAACATCCATGTGCAGGTTTTTATGTGGACAGAAGTATTCAAGTTCTTTGGGTAAATACTAAGGAGGATGATTGCTGAATTGTGACTTGTAAGAATACGTTTAGTTTTCTAAGAAACCACAGAACTCTTCCAAAGTGGTGGTACCATTTTCCATTTCCATCAGCAATGAATCAGCAATGAGTCAGAGTTCCTGAAATGTGAGCTTTTTATTTTTAATACAGTATTTTGTCTTTGGTTATAAGAGGAATTTTGAAATATTTTATCTGATTGAATGTGTTAATTTATAAAATTACTTTCTGTATAATATTTTATGTCATGCTGGGAATAACCGTAGAGGGCAAACTCTGGAAGTTGACAGGTTGGGTATTCTAAGAAGGAATTAGCATTTTCCTTGAGGCAAAAGATTAATTGAAATTTCATGTCCAAATTATTTTTCGTATATAGATTGCCACTGTGCTTAGGTATTTTTAAAATAAAAGTTAAAATCAGCATTTTAACTAGTTATGTTTGTTTCTGATCAAATCTGAAACAACAGTCTTAAATTATTAATCTCCACTGTAAGTGCTTTTCTCAAGTGGTTGTAAAGTATTCCTTTTGGCTACAGTTGGGTCAAAACTAAAATGAGCTAAAATTTTCAATTTGAAAATAAGGACTAAAAATATAAACATAATGTGATAAAATAATTGTTAGATTTTTCACACATAAAAAGGATTGAAAGATGCCATTGTGAAAAATAATATCAAGAAGTAGGGCTATGCCATTCATTTTCCTGTTTCAATAATGCAGCTTAGTTTCTTTTATTTTGTGGCTTTATTTTTTAAATCAGAGACACAGAGGCTTGATACCAGGTAGGGGACAGGGGCTGCCCTTTGTCTTGTTAGGGGCAGAAATATTAATCATGCTCTATTGACCATGATTTTTGGCTATAGTTAAAAGAAATATTAATCCTGACCTGTTGACCATGATTGTTCTGTTCTGATTTTGAGAAAGCACATTCTAACCCGTCTGCGAGTTGCATGCCCCGGGGCATCAGAGTTAATTTTGGAATGTGGTTTAACCTAATGGGAACATTAACAGCCTTGTCCTACAGAGTCCAGAGGTGCCCACCCTTTGCAACCCAACCCCCCAGCCCACATTGCCTGTAATCTGGTCCCCGGAGGCACCTGCCTGGAGTCACGCAGGGGGCCAGCATGGAGGCGCCTGCCGTTTGCGGCCCTCAGCCCACATTGCCTGCAGCCTGTTAGCATTATACCTTGCGTACTTCCCCAAGTCTGTAATTCCTACTTTCCCATGTAATCTTCGTCCTTCTACCCAATATAAGCAGCTGGCTTGGGGGT